TTACCAATAGCTAATTAATTTTTGTTTTAAATAAATTATCAGTGTTTTCCATATTAAAATAAAGATATAATTCCCTTGTATTTATTTGCCTTTCTTATCTGATTATCAAATTTTTAGAAGTCATGACTAATTTCCAAAATTAACTACCAATGATTTCAGTCTCACTTTTAGGATTCTCTCCAAGGAATGCTGTCTCTCTTCCCCCTTCCCTTCCTTTTTTCTCTCTCAATATAAATGTAGATACATACACACATAGGCATTCATGTGTGTGCAAATATGTTCATGTGTGAGCATGTGTGCATATGCTTGTGTGTACACATGCATGTATAGACATGCAAAGTTATAAGTCATCAGTAAGGCTGAGTTAGATTCACTACGAATTAAATTATTCTATTTTTTCTACTAGGAAAACATTTTCCACATACCTTTTTTTTTAAAGATTTATTTATTTATTTATACAAGCACTGGGTACAGTCAGAAGCACGGGAGGGTGAGAGAATTCACCAGAGCCAGAGTGGGGAACAGAACAGGCAGAGTGATGAAATACACTGCTGAGGGGAGCAGCGGGCAGGGCAGGAGAGGTCTGTCGTGCCATGTGGGACCCTTGCCAGTGGCCGGGGATCAAAGTGGCGCTGCAGAGCCTGCGGGCAGTTTCGCAGCCCAGCGCTCAACTGCTGCGCCACCAGGGGAGGCCCCACATACATTCTCTCTTTAGATCCTCATAATAATTTTGGGAAGTAGGATTTTAATCACCCCTAAATTTACAAGTAAGGAATCTGAACATTACAGTAATAACTGTGATTAAAGTTATTCAAATGAAAGAAAGAAATGAAAAATGAAAGAGATCTAGTACAATAGAGAGAAAAGTATGTCCGCTTGGAGCCCCTTATTCACAACAACTCAAAGAGGTGCCTCAGCCAAGGGTCTAATCACCAATGAATGGGGAAGTAGGATTCAAGAAGTAGTGCAAGAACCCTGGCCCGGGAGATGGCCCAGAGGCTGGGGGGCAGGAGCAGGTCTCCATGGGGGCACTGGGCCGACTGTCCCGCCTCATGGCCTGTCTCCCTCTCAAGTTCTCAACAGCAGCCTGACCCAAGTGCTGTGGCTGTGGTGGTTCTTACACTTGCTGTTCTTGTAGCTGCTGTTCTTGCAGTTGTTCTTACAGTGTAGTTGTTCCTGTAGTTGCTGTGGTTGTTGTTTAACAGGCTTCAAGCTCCCAGACTTGAGGCCATGGAGTGCAGTAGACCTTGAGAACAAGTGGGGAAGATCCAGGGCAACATGGCCAGACACCTGCAGTGCACCAGGAACACATGGGCACTTTCGTTAGTGTCTTCTCACCCCTGCAAGCCTCGCTCATTTCACTGGTTGGCTTTGGAAGCCAATTTTTTTCATGGAAATTTATATTTCAGGCTCATTTTGAGCCAAAGACATTCCTTGTCAGCCCCTACTCAGCAGTCAGCAATCACTGTCGGGGTGTTCTGTGATGGCTCCTCTCCAGGGCTCTACTCGCTGGCCAGAACCAGTCACACCTGGATGTCGCTGTCCGTTACAGCAGGTCCAATTGCAGAAGCAGCAGAGGACTGGCTCATTGCGGGGTGCTGGTATCTGAAGGCGCCTCTTTAGGGCTACCGCTTTTGATAAAGGGGAAGACCTTCCTGATGGTCACCTCTATCCCTGCAGATTCTTTGCACGAATTGAGAGAGTCGCACCCAGCCTTTGAATTAAAACATGAAACATGGCCCTGTTTCCCAAACTGTTTAACTTTAACCTGAAGTGGCTCAGCTGTGCGGCTCGTTATTTGCTTCTGGACACGCAGCAGCAGGCCCGCGCCTCTAGGACCTGCAGGCCATGCTGCTGCTCTTTAGTTTCTGGCTACAGAGATGTCTCTTGTAGAAGAAATGTCCGCTAAAGCTTCAGATGAATGCACCATCCTAACCCCTATAAGTACCTTTTTTATTTCCTGCCTGTCTCATGTGCTCATAACTGCACACTTCCAGAGCCAACTGCAACAACTTTGTGATAAGGGGAGAAAAGCACACAACTTTGGAAGGACTGGAGTTTGGAAGGGTTGGTTCTGTTTTTTTAATTTATTTATTTACTTATACAAGAACTGGGATATAGGCCAGATTCGCGGGAGGGTGAGAGGATTCACCAGAGACAGAGCAGGGAACAGAACAGGTAGACTGATGAAATGCACTGCTAAGGGGAGCAGCGGGCACAACAGGAGAGGTCTGCTGCACCATGTGGGACCCTCGCTGGCCGGCCAGGATTGAACTGTGGCTGCAGAGGCTGCGGATAGCTTCACAGTGCGGCGCTCAACCGCCTGCGCCACCAGGGGAGGCCCTGGGAGGGTTTTGAAAGTGAACCCTCTGAAAAATAAGATATACAACTCAATGAATTTTCATAAAATGAACACAGCCTATGAATTAGCCTAGAGTTCCAGAGGGTTCTTCATTGCGCCACCCAAATAACCACTAATTTCATTTCTACCACCATCAGTCGGTTTTGCCTGTTTTAGAATTTAATCAAAATGGGCTTAAACTTTTCATTCAGTCTTTTCATTCTGTTTCTTCAGTCATTGCACTTTCTAGACCACAAACAAATGGTGACCAGACAAGTGAAATATTTAGACGTCCTTCCATTTAGGTTGGACTCATTTCCAACCTAAGGGGAAAATCTTTCACATTAAATATGATGAGAACTTCAGTTTTCTCTAGATTCCCTGTGTTGGATTAACGAATTAGAAAGTTAATTACCAAAATATTTAAAGTTTTCTATTAATTCTGTTTCCTCTAGCACAGGATTATGAGTGATTTGGTGGTGGGTGTTATGTGGTAACATACATACGAAGAGGTGAGAACCTATACCCCTAAATCACATGCAAGGTCATATGGTAATATTAATCTGAATAAAAAAAAAAAGTGGTATTGTTTTTTGAAGTAAGATTGATTTTTTTTAATTTTTTTTTAATTGGAGATAACGTCAGGGTACAACAAGGTACGCGATTAAAGGTGTTAGATCATTGTTTAAAAATTCAAAATATGCTTGAGATCTATTTCAAGGCCCAGCATGTAGAATTTCCATCTGTACCTGAAAACACGTGTGTCTCCAGCGATTGTGATATTGCTTCATGAGTGAGAATGAGGCTAATTTGATGATGATGCCTTTGTCTTTGCTGGTTGTGTTTTAATTATAGACAAAGTGTTTTTGAATGTCTGTTTCTCTTTCTGTCTGTCTGTCTGCATTATTAATGTCTTCCTTTTGAATTGGATTTCTTGTCCTTGTGAAGATTTCCTCTTTATGTCCAGAGAGCTCTTTTGAATTCCACTTTCACACATGGGGTGTTTTCATGACTCCTCACCTCTTTCCCTTTTTCATCTCATTTGTTCTCATAGTGAAAGTGGGTCTGTTTTTGATAGGTGTTTAGGTCTTCTATCCTGTGTGGCCATCTTTGCCTTTTGTGTTCAGTATTTAGGAAACTGATAAGGTTGATGCCAAGAAATAAATTTTGATATGTTTTGTTTGTTCCTTCTGTTTTTTCATTTATTTCTTCTTTTCTCTGTTAGCTAATTAAAATAGTGGGATTTTTGATATTGCATTTTAGTTTAAAAATATTTATACTTCTTTTTTAATTAATTTTTATTTATGCATACAAGAACTGGGGTCTGTCTAGGCTAAAGGTGCAGGGGGTGAGGATTCCCAGAGACAGAGTGGGGAGCTGAACTGAAATCCACTGCTTAGGTGAGGAGCGGGAGACAGGAGAGGTCTGCCGGGCTACGTGGTCCAGCTCAGGAGGTAGTGGCTGGCGGGACTTTTAACCTCTGTGCCACCAGGGAGGACCAAAAATATTTATACCTTTCTTTTTTTAACTGGTATTTCTAGGGACTATAATGTGCATCCTGTCACAGTTCAATTGGCTGATATCATATTTCCTCAAGGAAAAATTAGGTATTGCAATAACATAGGATATTCTTACCTGTGTGCTAATGTTTCTGTATATTCCATAGTCACCTAAGACATAGACTCCCCAATGCTGTCTGTTCTATCGAGAAGGGGATAAGTCCTCATGTGCATTTGACATTTAATATTTCTCATTCTTTCCCTTCTTTGTTGTGTATCAGTATTTCAAGTGATAAGTCTCTTCAGGTTTATAGCTTTATAAATGTCTTAAACATTACTTATATTCATTTCACCTCTACTGCCCCCAAATTCATTTAGCTTTTGTTTTCAGCAATGTTTTCAAAATATTCTCATAATCTTGGATAGTTCATTTTGGTGATATAGACTCTTCCTCCTTACCACTTTTAAGTTTTCCTTGAAGGAGAATTGTTCATCCTGCATCAGTTCTTCAGGGCGAAGGCGACTTAGCATTTTGACGCAGGTCTCTGGTTCAACATGCAACACATCACGCTCTGAAATATTTAATTAAAATCACTCACAGATCCCCAAATTTCATCTTGAGTGGAAACGTTAGGTTTTAATTCTTTCAAGAGTGAATGAGTATATCTAGGAGCGGGAAATATTTGTCGACCAAGAAGAGCTGACTGCGGAAATCACTCGTTTGGACAAAATACACATTCCAGTTCCTTCTCTGGCCACCACAGGGTGAGCGTACTGCCCCCTCAGCAGTTAAGCAGCGTCCTGAGTAAACCTCAGTGTGTGAACGGAGAACGGAAGGGATGCTGGCACTCTCGGCTTGCATATTTCGTCATCCCCCCGAGGCCCTGTGCAGCCACCTCCGGCCCTTCCAACGTGGTTACCAAGCACGTTCCAGTGACGGCAGCCCGGCCGCGCCCCTGCCCTCGGGCGCCCGCCCCGCCCCGCCCCGCCCCGCCCCGCCCCGGCTGGAAGCAGGTTCCTGTCACCTTAGGCACCGTGGACGCCCCACCCGGCGTGGCTTCCCCGGCGCGTCGCGCCGTCAGCACGTGTCGGCTGCGTCCATTACGTGGGTGGGTCACGTGGGTGGGTCACGTGGGCTCGCGCAACCGCAGACGCGGGCAGCGCCATCGCCTCGTGCTGTTCGAGGCGCTCTCAAGGCCGCGGCCTCCCTCGTGGGGGGCAGTTCCTGCCTCTGGGGTGACCTGGTAGGTGATGGGGGGCCTCAGCTCGTCTCCTGGTGACCGGAAGGTCACCGCGGCCGCGCCGGTCCGGCTCTGCGGTGCGGGCAGCGGGAAGCCAGGGGAGCTGAGGCGGGCGAGCGCTGAGGCGCGAAGGCGGGGCCGGCCCTCCCACCCCCCCCTTGGGCCTGCGCCGAGCGCCACCTGCGGCCTGAGGCCTCGCGCTGCCCGGGCCTCGGGCCTCGTCCTCGCGCGCGCCTCTGAGGCGGGCCCGTCGCGCCCCCTCCGTGGGCCGGGCGGCCGCTCTCGCGCCTTTCAGCCGGCCCTCGGGCGCCCAGGCCCCCTCCCGGCGCAGACGCAGAGCGCGGCCCGCCCGTGGGAGAGGCGGGGACTGCAACCCCTCTGGGTTTGCAGAGACGCCCGAAGAGCGCGCCGTGGGGTGTCTGGGCGCGCCTTCCCCGTGGGGGCGCTCGGGGCACCCCTGCGGGGTGGGGGGGCACCTCCCCGCTTGGCTGGAGCAGAGCGTCACGCCACCGCCGACCGAGTCAGTGTTTCCTGTGTGTGCTTGTGACTCCTGAGCGGAGCTTGTGCCTGTTGGGGGAAGACCACACGCAGACACGCGGTGCTGAGTCTGCCGTAGATCTGTGGCCACGTGGTGAACTTTGAAAGAGGATGATCCAGACGTAGTAGCGTATTGATGGACCGCAGAATTCCTCGCTGTGCGTAGGGAGAATACCATTCATGCTAGAATTTTCAGCTGTCGAAATTTTTAAAGTGAAATGACCTTTGCTTGCTTTAACCTTACTAAACCAGTCAGAGTTAATGAGAAAAACATAAAATTAAAATTAAGATATCAAATTTCTCCTATAAATAAGGGTTTTAACCTAATGAGTGAGCTTGAATTGAAATCTTCCCTTTTCAGTGTGAAGACGCTGCTTTATTTGCTCTGGCCCCGGCAGGCAGGGCCCGGCCAACCGGACCAGGTGGTAGGGGACGGGGAGGGGGGGTAGTTGCTGGCCAGGCCAGTGCTCGGTAACTGCGCCCCCGTGTAGCTGCAAACATACAAAGTGCGATGTGTGTGCATTTTCATGCGTCTTAACCCAGTTGAAATCATTTTGCCCCATCAGGACTGAAGCCCGTGAAGCCTGTGGCCGGCTTAGACCCCTCCAGGACAGAAGTCCAGCCCCCCATGACAGCCTGCGCCACTCGCCCTCTGGAGAGCCGAACCCCCTGATGAGGAGCTCCAAGTAAGGTAGGAAGTTAGGCTGGCGCGGGGCCCAGCAGAGTGAATACCTGGTGCTGGTAGCAAATGCCGCAGTGCTTACCTACGCATGCAGTGTGTTCTGTGCTCTTGTGAAACGCATGCATTTTCCAGTTCCCACTTCTATGAAGACTATATGGCCGCTATTTTTATTCTGTTAATTGTGGTTTTTCTAATGGTTCATATATTTGTTTTATTCTTAGTGTCCGTTCTTCAGTTTTCTGCTTCATTGCTGCCCAGTCTGTCTCCTAAACATTCCTGTTTACAAGAAATCAGGTCAGCAAACATTTAGTGGTTCTTACAAGGCATCTCCCCATGGAACCAGATGCTGGTGTGCTGGGGGAGGTAGCCACTGAGCAGTGTAGGGATGTGTGGTCAGAGTAGCAGGGCTTACTCCCTGGGCAGTGCAGGTGCCGGGACTTCCTTTTTGGAGAGGATAGTGTCTGAGCAGAACCTTTTAAGAAAGTGAGGAGGTGTAGAGGAGGCCTGTGCTCCGACAACCGGGGTGAAGGGTCAGTCTGATGAGACTTAAAAATATGACCTGTGTTTCACAACTTCTCGGCCCCCAGGGGCATTTATAACACAGAAGGTTTTTAAATTGTGAATGTGATAGTAATTTGTGCTTTAAACATAATGTGGTTAGTAGTTATCATGGACAATAAATTCAATAAAACCTTCATTTGTATGAACTGCTGTGATGAGATCATTGTGACAATAGGCATTCGAAGGAGCTGAACAGGGGCTGTGGTGTGAGCCAGGTGCCAAGGCATCAACTTGAGAAATGCTTAGAAGATAAACCAAAAAATCTAAACTAGGTCATGTTACATAGAGAAACACAGGAGGAAACTAAGAACACATTGGCAATAAGACTATAAGAAGTCTAATAGCAAGAGTGCATCTTCCTTTATAGCTGGGCGGTAGATGCTGTCTGTGTGCTACACCTAAACCCACCCCTGTTGGTGTTGGGTGCTCCCATGCTTTGGCTGTTGTGAAAAGTGCTGTGGTGAACATGGTGTGCGTGTGTCCCTTTGAATCAGAAAGTCTTATTATTGCGGGAGCTACTGTTTTCATGTCTGCAACTTGCACTCTCTCAGACTGAATACTTTCATTTTTGACATTCTCAGATTTCTGAACTTAGATTTTCCTTGATTACAGAATTGGTAAATTTATAGACTGAGGGATCTACTAGATGCCACTTTGCCTAGTTTTATGAAGTACTCTGGAACATTAAAATTCACACTGAAAAAAATCTTACCTACTCACCTTGGTGCACCCCTACCCCACCCCCAAGTCCTCTTCCTAAAAGAGGAGGAGTTAATTCTCTACAAAAAAGCTGCTCTCCCTCTCTTTTAGTTATATAGGGAGAAAGTGGAGGAGGAGAAGCACTTCTTACAAGTTTTCTGGTTACTTCTTTGGTCTTGTTTCAGTTGGTATGTGGAAACAACACTGGTTCTATCCAGTTTCTTAAATGTCTGAGCAGATTTTCCTTTCATCAGAGCTGAATGCACTTATTTAATTTTGCAATATGCTGTATAGAGTAGCAATAAATACAGGAGGCAGATGCCCAGCTCTCAGTAATCACAGTACATCTTCTGGAAGGAGGGATGCGGGGGCTTTGTGTTCCTCCAGCCACCAGAAGAGAGTCGCTAGCTGCCCACCTGCTGACTTGGTGGCATGTCCAGGCCTGAGCTTGAACTCTCCATCTTAGAGGACAGACTGGCCTCAGGGATGCTGACTGAGTCTGGTCAAATGTAAGAGAGACGTACTTTAATCATTCTGTATTTATTAATTCACAGGAAGACATATAACCATTAGACGGATCTGATATTCTTACCAGTGGAGCTGTTTTCAGTCTCCTACTTAAGAAAAACCAGGAAAAGCCAAATAATTAGATTATTTGATAGGCCAGATATTGCCCCAGGAGAAGTGACCTAATGAATAATGCGGTGCTAATGCTTTGTGACCTTGGGGTCCCTAATCTGATTCCTGTGCATGCCCAGGCTACATGTCTTACTCAGTATCTAGTGAGACTGCATATTCCCATCAGCAGTTCCATGTATTTTTATGCCTTGAAAATTCTGAGAAAGAATTTGAGGAAAAAACACATCATCACCCCAACTCCCCATGAAACCCACCCTCACTTATTTTTATGTGTGCTTTTTACAGTGTGTTTCACTTTAGTGGACCTCTTTACTTATTTGCACATTTGTTAAATGTGATAATGCCAGATTTCTTTGATTTTTTTTTTGAATGGGTTACATTTCTGTAAAGTTTTGTATCCTCCCTTGCTTCTTGTTCCCTCTCTTGTTCCCATCTCTATCTCTACGATACATAGTAATTCTCAGACATTTAGGGCATCTTCCCTGGTCAGTTCTCTGGTAACAGTGAAAATACTGATTTTAAGTAGGACTGGATTATCCACAAGGTCACTCATGTACGTGCCACGAGGTTGTTTAATGACATCATCTAAATGTAATGTGTTCCTGATACAATTAAATATACGGGCAACCAGAATAAAAATGCACGACTTTGACAGAATCTAAATAAATTTTTTTCCTAAGAAAAATGAAAATAAATTGTGTGAGTCTGAGGGGTGGGTGGGCTGGGACAGAGAAGAGAGCAGGTGGTCACGACTACTTGCGATGCTGCAGAGAGGCATTGCCACCAGAGAGCAGTATTTGACTACAAATCAAAGAAACGGGCTCATTCCTTGCAGACAGAAAACAGGTATTTTTTGCCAATCATCCAGGTACAGTTATCTTATCAGTAAATAGCCAGACTTGGTGATGAGCTGTGCTGGGGTATTTAACCCAGTAGATGGGCTTGGAAGTAGCTGCAGAAAAACACAAAAGAACTTCCAACCAAGGCAAAGCAGAAGCAGACTGCAGACAGCCACCCCAACCTCAGCCCGCAGACACTTGTCTCAAGGGACCACATTGTTCAGAAAACTGTGTTCAGTCCTCCTCCTTGACAAACTTGATAGAAATTTCTTTAAAAAAAATAGATTTATTTATGCATACAAGAACTGGGGTACGGGAGTGTGGATGAAAGGATTCACCAGAGGCAGAGTGGGGAACAGAACAGGCAGATTGACTGAAATCCACTGCTGAGGGGAGCAGCAGATCAGTCAGGAGAGGTCTGCTGCACTATGTGGGTAGCTCTCTGGCAGGGGATCGAACTCTTGCTGCAGTGGCTACAGATAGCTTCATAGGTTGCATCTTAACCCCTTGTGCCACCAGGGAGGCCCTGATAGAAATTTCTTTTATGTAAACTTGTGTTGATTATGACTAATTGTTAGCACAACATCTCTAGCAAATTCTTTTTATTACTGTGTGGATGAGTGTCCTGACAGGCAGGTGTTTGGTGACTATGAGAATAGTTGCACAGAAGCAATGAGAAACGGATGTACTCCTCAAGGTCTCCTGTGCTTTTGTTCAGCAGAGCTATTGGTATAATTGTTTATAGTCAAAATATTCACTGAATTTGTGTTTTTCTAATGGAATTGCTAAATTAAGCAACCACTCCGAGTCCCTACAATCTTTAAGTATTATGTTTGTGCATTTTAATTTGGACAAACTTTGTTCTTATGAGGCATGAGGCAGCAACAAGTGCCAACAGCTCGAAAATGAAAAAAAATATAGGCCCTAATTTACAATTTATTCGGATTGCATATGAAAAATGATCCATAGAAGATATTATAAAACAGGGCCTCCCCTGGTGGCGCAGGCGGTTGAGTGCAGCACTCTGAAGCTGTCAGCCTCTGCAGTGCAGGTTCAATTCCGACCGGCGAGGGTCCCATATGGCGCGGCAGACCTCTTCTGTCGCTCCCACTGCTCCCCTCAGCAGTGTATTTCGTCAGTCTGCCTGTTCTGTTCCCCCCTCTGTCTCTGGTGAATCCTCTCACCCTCCTGCGAATCTGGCCTGTACCCCGGTTCTTGTATGTATGGATAAATAATAAATAAATCTTTAAAAAAGGTATTATAAAATATGTTTATTTTATTATATGAATGGCATAAAATTTATATTTTTATTTTCACATTATGTTGAACCTCTCAATTATATAAAGAATCAGGATCATATTCATGTTACAACTCATCGAAAAATAGAAAACAGCATTTGGAGGCTTGAATAGAATCAAGTTCTTTACTTCTGTCCCCCCCAGAATATGCTGGGTGACTTGGTGTTTTTGAGGCACCGTCAGGTGGTTCTCTAGCTGCTTTTCAGCTAAGTAGAGGCAAAGACGCTGGACTACTTGACTGGATTTTTAAATCATTCAGTGCTCTGCTTGTTAGAAAGAAAAACTGATTTCCTCAGCTCTGAGCTACAGCCTCTGCTGGTGATGAGGAGGACCATGATGGAGACTGAACCAGGAGTGAGAGCTGCAGGAGGAGCAAGTGCACTCTGTTCAGCTTTCCAGTCTGCTTCCTGCTAACTCCTGTGACGTTAGTAACTCTGCATTTAAGGACTATGTCAGCATCCTGTCTCTATTAATTCACATAATGCCATTTCCCATTATTTGTGGGGAGGGTAAAAAAAAAAAAAGCTGCCAATATGTAATATTTGTTTTACCATGAATGATAGTATTTTGTGGATGTTACCATTATGTTCTAAAACTGTAAGTTAAAAGATAAACCCAGAGAGTGCATATGGGAAGAGAGAGGAAAGGGAAAGTTCAGGAAAAAGAGGAAACAAAACTGGAATACCGAGGGCTCTTTTATTCTTTTTTGTGTTTGTGCTTGTTGCTTTTTAATTAAATTTGTCCATGTTTATCTGTCTCTAACTTTGGGGTGACGTTTGTGCACATGCTTTACTCATTCTCCACCAGACTGCCTGTGCCTGTGCCCCCTCCCATACTCCCTTTCTCCTCCAGCCCCTCCTGTTCCCTCTGGTAGCCAGTATATTTTTCATTGGTTCTAAGATTAACTTTTGCTGTCCTTTGCCAGAATATGTTTTTTGATTAGTTGTATTTCACAGATAAGTGAAACCATGTG